TAAGACAATGATCAATGGATCAATCTTCCTATATTAACCAAAAAGTTGTACAGGATCTATTTTGAGCTCTGTACTTTCATTCTATTTTGTCAAAGAAATGTGCACAAGTTGAGAAAGCAATAAATCTTTATTGCTTCCTCGAACTTTTTTAGAGAAGGTAATTGCTTCCTTTTGCTTTGCTAATGCATCGCCCTTGGCTACAGAAGTAATCATCGGTGATTATAATCTCTTGTGTTTGACTAATCCTACTGATGCGCAAATACATTTATAAATTTGATGAATATTCTTTGGCCCTCTTTCATTTATTCTCCGTTAATCTTTATAAATAATCGACATTTGCAACACTTCTGTTTATTCCCTATACTGTATGTGAATCATGAACCGTACGATTAAATTTATTCTGATGCTTGCTCTCGAATTTCCAGCAATTTTTTTATCAATTCTGATCCTCACTTACTTTTCTCTAAAGCATGACGCTCATTCAAAACTTAAAAATCATGGATGGTTTGTTTTAATTACCACTAACCTCTTGCAACTTCTTATTGATTTACCGATGGTAATGAGTTATTATAAGATGGGAATAGTTTGGCCCGCTTCGAATGCATATTGTGTATGGTGGACATGGTTTGAATTCTCAATAAATACCATCGGATTGTTCTTAATGGCATGGATTTCTATCGAACGACATGTATTAATTTTTCATCCACGCGCAATGCTTCACAAGCCATGGAAAAAATGGATATTTCATTTCGTACCGATTACTTTTTGTCTGATTTGGACACCTATATTTTATTTTGGGGTAGTGGTCATTTGCTTGTTTTGTACAAATGTATGGGATTTTAATTTACTGATTTGTGGTTATCCGTGTTACTATACAGCAAACTTTCTCGGTCAGTTTGATATCATCTTAAATATTGCTGTTCCTGTTAGCATAATTATGCTCGCAAATCTAACGTTAATAATTCGAGTGACCTATCAAAAGATGTCTCACCATCAAGCAATTAACTGGCGACGTCATCGCAAAATGGTACTTCAATTATGGATTATTTCGTCACTTTACATGGCATTTTGGCTACCGACGGTAATTACACAGCTTGTCCAAATAACTGTGATGCCTTCATTTATGATCGATCAACTGGAGACAATTCTGTTCGTTATCTATTTAATTCCACTTTTTCTGCCGATGGTATGTCTCAGTACATTACCTGAATTGGTCAAGAAAATTGTGAATATTATTGCGAAACCAAAGTTGAATCTGATTGGTATTGCTCCTTTTAACCGAAGTGCAGGACAAACAGCCCCCAATACAATTGCTCAATAACTTTTGCTTCTGAACAATATAAAAAATGTAAATTTCTCTTTTTTCCTTTTCAACAAAAAAAATGTAATATAAAAATATGTCTTGCACACAATAAACCCATCGGCTAATTCAAAATTTTTGATCTCCTAGAAGGTCATTAAAAATTACATCGCTGGAGAAGAACAAAACGTATTGAGCAAGATGAATAAATTTTTCTAATAGGTACTCTTAGGTCTCCCATATACATTTCATTAAACCGATTCTGCATCAAAAATAGCAACAATATTGCATTGTTTCTATCTCTCCCGTCGAACGCTCTATTGTGCAACACGATGTAAAAGAAGAGTTAAAATAGAGAAGCAGGAACTTAAATTATATCTTTTCTCTCTTCATGAGACTGTGATAGACAGCCAAGAAACTGAAGTCTATTACAGGATTATTATGAAAAACAACTAAATTACGGACACATGAACAACAGGTAACAGTTTAAAAACCGAAACATATGTTACTGGATCGCCTCATTCACAGTACGAGCACGTTCATCGCGTTTCGCATTGTAACTTTTCGTTTTTTCGTCATTGTTACTCTGTTCTATGTATAAGCATTTGAAAGCGCATCATGTCAAACATTTGTGAGAACTGAATCAAGTAAGCAATGACCAGTATTTTTTTTAATATGCAGTGAGCTGCCGAGCACTTCGTTTTGTCATATCCGGTAAATTCATGACAATTCCATTTTGAGATCATGTAAGCTGAATTGCACATATGATATGAAATAAATGGAACTGTCAGAAATATATTGGATAGGACGCAATAAGATTTTCAGTAAACTGAGCTTATATAAAAAGAGCTGAATGATCGATACTAGCGTAGTCAGTGGGTAGCATGCAGACGGACTTGTTCATATGTCTCATGCATAGTGGATGATGCAAACAAAACAAAAGATTTCTATCATATTGTTGAAGACGGTGTCATTGAAGATTTACTTTTAAAAAGAAAATTTTTCTAGACTAAGAGAAGAATCTTACAAGAAATAGCATCAAGATATTACTATACCAAGGATATTTTGATATGATAATTCAATATTTGAAGCCTAATGTAACATTTAAAAGCACATATTGAATCTTTTATCAATCTAACCTTAAAATGATAGAAAAAGTCCATGTCTTGTTTATTTTTACTGTGATTCAATAAGACCATAATAGAAGACTTTGCTCAAAATGTTTATAATTAGTATTGTATATTGTGAAACACGATATAAAAGAAGTGCTGTAGTATATAGTATAGAAATTTGAACTCACCCCTCTCACTCTTCCACAGACTGTAACAGACATTTTAATTAGTTAAATAATTAATTAACTAATGACCATGTAATAAATATCTAATTAATTAATTCCTCATTGCAGACCTTGACAGACACTTTAGGACCCTGCCATCTGCTGTGCAAGATGTTCTTGATACACGATCAAACAACACAGACCAAGAACATCTTATCGTAGTATGTAATTATATGTTGATTCCAGTTATAGATTAATAAGAAAAAGGATGATTCATAAATGTGTCGCAAAATAGATAGATTAAAACAAGCTTCTAGTGAAAACCAAGAGCAGCTATATTGTAGTTCACATTTTAATCCTGCAGAGGTTGCACTAACAGCTTTTTTTATTTCCTGCAACCTGCTCTATCAGTATACAATAAGAACCAACCGAAAAAAAAAGCCCACGTCATCCAACACGCACTCGCTCATTCGTCAGGAAAATAAATAAGCTTTTTCATCCACATAATCAGCTATTATACGAACGATGATAAATGTGTTATTGGGAATAAAATAGGATATAGATGAAAATTTATTCAAGTTCAATGTTCCTAACCATTTGTAATATAAATAAAAATTGTATTAGTAAGTTTTACTTTAAAAAAACTCAGAAAAATCTATCAATTTATAATGAATTAAATAGAAAGAAAAAATAGTCACTTTTTTTCCTACAAGTGCCTACAATAAAAAATAAACAAATTACTCGAAACAAAGCCCTCCACTAATTATATGTCATTATAATCTCTCAAATTTGACAAATTCTACTGATGGCTAAATATATTTATAAACTTGGTGAACATCCCTTTATCCGCTTTCATTAAGTCGATTGACTTCAGAATGTGCAATGACTGGATTTTTGCTTTTCAGTCATTTAGTTGACATGATAAATTATTTATAATCTTTTTCTTCTTCTACCGAGAGATGCATGAGGTGTGATTGGATGTGGGTGTAATAAAAAATTACATCTACACCGATATCCACACTCACACCCATCCACACCCAAATCCAATTGTAAGATTGGTGAGTCTGAGTGGCGTGTTTTTTGAGTCATTGAACTTGTGATCCCTTTTCTCCACTGAAAAAGTAACAATTTTAGAAAAAGGCTCTTTGATGCACTGCACCTTGGCATCATGCACTTTCTAACAAAAACAAAATTAAATATATACAATGAATGTGGACCGATAGATTTGAATTGCCAACTGAGCTATTTTTTATTTTTGTTTGGTGAATATCTCTGTCATACATCATGATATAGAGCTGAAAATTTTACCAAAGCCTCTCCACTATAGCTCCAACGTATCCTGAAAATTTCATGCCATTTGAATGTACTTGAGCTGAGCTCAGTTTTTGGAAAGTAGGAGACGGAGACAGGAACCTTGACTAACAGTGATCACTTAGAAAATGAATTGTAATGTTTTATTTTCTATTAAATGAAACTAAAATCTCTATTATTTTGATTATTATTCGAGAATCTTAAAAAATGATTAAAAAATAACACCTTATAATTATAAAAAACGTTCACGAGTAGTGGCATCAACTGGAATTTAAGTCTTCCAAAGATCAGGTAAAATGATCAATATATATATATATCATACCGTTTACTTTCTTATGAAACTAAATCTTATTATGCCCGAAATGGTGGCTTATTATCTTTGAAAATAATTCAAGTAAATGTTTGACTGTTTATGATATGATGATGTAAAATGGCAATTCAAATGCTATTAAAAACAATGCACACGAGACTATGTTTTGCATCTTTTCATCACCTAAACAACTGTAATTGATGTTTAAAAACACTTGCATATGTGCTGTTAGCTGATGCTGAATTTTTCGCTGTTTTTAATTGAATAACATCCATTTACATTTCTTCTCTCATTCTATTGTTAAGAAAATTTGCTTTGTAAGTGCTACCTACATTTAAATCATGAAGTTGAAAATGCATTAAAAATTAAAGAAGGACAAAAACAAAGAACGAAACACATGATCACTAAATAAATTGTTCTATGAATGCAGGCCATTGCAAATTCTAAACAAAACAAACAATTTCGATCAGTTTGTGTCGTGTTGAAGTTTTATTTTTCTTTTATACATACAGACATCAACATACAAACTAAGCTAACAATAAAATGCCAATCAGCGGACAAACGATGGCTTATTACATTCCTCGTCCCATTTCATCTTTCAATCAGGTTAATACATGGTGAAACAGTCATGCAAAGACTGAAAACTTGTTTTATATCTATTGTGTTTTTGAATAATTTTAAAGAAGCATTTCATATAGTTACATCTCAAAATAAGCAAAAAAATTTCAATTATAGAAATTTTAGACTCAGTTACTCATTAGTCTTTTCTTCGATCAAATTTGGTTTTTTTTCTAAAGAATGGAATGCCCAACCCTAATCATATGGTTAAACCGATGGCGACCAAACAACAGGCATCAGCACCACGATCGGTCAATGTTGACATTGATACTGTGAGAGAAGTTAAAACTGCAAAGTTCGTATGCGATCATTTTGTATGACACATTTAATTTTTCATTCTATAGACCCATAGGCCCACTCGTCAAGGGAACTCTGGGTGTTTTAGTAGTGTGTGGTTTGGCAGCGACTATTGCTGTTCCTATCGGTCTCACTCAGAGAGCAACAGCCGACAGAGCAATAGCAGAAACTGCTACTCCTACAACGATGACTACCACTTCTTTGTCTACATTAACCTCTACTAGTACAACTTCAACTTCAACTTCTACTACATCGACTACCACTACTTCTACTACATCAACTAGCACTAGTTCTACTACATCAACCACTACTACTAGCACAAGTACAGTATTGTTCTGTTTTTTTAGCTTCATCATAACCAAATATCCATATTATTAAATTTTCTTCTTTCCTTCTCGAGATCGAAGTCTCTCCTCAGTTAGATTACATTGTACTGGAATTCTTTTTATCTCTCTGAATTGTAATATACCCAAAATTAGGTAATAGATGTCTTGTATTTATCAGAAGTGCCGTAGTTATACTAGATAGTTTTCATTTATTATTTATGAGGCACTACAACAAATGTCAGGCTTTCTGTTTTAATTGTGAATGTCTTACAACAATTCTTTCCGTCCAAATACGTCTTTTTTTTGTCGTGTTACAAAAAAAGTTGAGGAAGTTATTTTTCTCACTATTTTTTTTACCAGAAATTATCAGATTATTCACTATAAAATCAAAAAATAATGCTGTCAGATTAGACTTTTTGAATTAGTTGTTTAACGAGAACTCTTCATAAAAATCATTGAATTTTCAGCAACAACTCCTCCTCCTATTGTCGCAATTACACGAACAGGTGATCCAATCATAGGTGTGTACAATACAACAGCTGGTGGATCTATCGGTGGTGTTAACGCCTTCTATGCGGGCCCTTCTGAATATCCTACCTATGCAATTGATAATTCAACAAGCACAAAATATCTCAATTTTGGTGTTAATACCGGTGGTATTACTGCGTATCAACCAGGTATAAACACTGGTTTTTATGTATCACCCGTTTCAAGTACTGCATCAATAGCTATTGGTCTTCTCTTTGGAACAGCAAACGATGTTCCAGATCGCGATCCAATTACAGTAACACTTGAAGGAACGAATGTAACTAGTTTGGCAGCACTTTATCTTGGCTCAAGTTGGACACTTATATATAGTGGTCCAACAGGTATCAGTGCTATAACTGATCCAGGTCGGCAGGTGTATGTTTCTCAACAAAATTTTTCAAATACACTTGTCTTCAGAAGTTATCGACTTCTTGTTACATCGCAACGTGGAAATACCAATTGTGTTCAATATTCTGAAGCTCAAATTATAGGGTATTTGTGAAAGAAAAGCAAACAAAATAAACAATTGATACATGTTTTTTTTAATATAAATGTACGTAACTTGAACTCTTTAATATTTATTATTTCAATTCAATAGAGTGTTTTTTTTTTGCTAACATCTGTTCTCTTAATAAATGTATACACTAGTTACTTTTTTGGTCAGAAGAATTAATCGAACAGTCATATTCGGTTGGATTGAGTAGAAATCTTGTCGAAAACCGGATGATGGAATAACACCTAGATTCCTGGTATTGAGAACCCGATCGGATCCCACTACTAAAACTCGATGAGATTCTACTATAGAAAACCGAAAAGATCCTGATGTTGTAAA